GTTTCCCACATGTCCCACACTCATACGGTCTTTCACCCGTGTGGATGCGCTGGTGCCTCTCCAGGTTCCCGAGACGACTGAAGCTGCGGCCGCACTGCGGGCACCTGTGGGGTCGCTCACCTGTGTGAACCAGTTGATGACGCTCGAGAGACCGCGAGTGCGTAAAGCGTTTGCCGCAGAGTTCGCAGTGGTGAGTCTGCTCTCCCGCCTGGACACAATCATGGTTTTTAAGGCTCCAGGCGTGGCCAAACGCACTCCCGCACACGGAGCACTGATAGGGCCGCTCCTCGGCCGCAGGGCATGAGTGCTTCATGAGGTCAGACGTGGAATTGAAGCCGCTGCCGCACCTTGTGCAGAAATGCAGCATGTCCCCACTCTCTCCTCCTGACTCCTCTTCCTCTTCTTTGTTGCTAGGGGCTGATGGGAGTTGTTGTTCAGCAGGGTCTGCTCTATGTGACGAGGACGACATTGCCTGCTGAGAGCTACATAAACCATCAAGTCCGATGAACGCCACGCCTTCAGATCCACACGTCTCCTGAGACGGGCTGCCCAGGCCAGACTCCGCCTCCTCACGTTCGCGCTCTGCCTTGAGGGCCGTCTCCAGTCCGCTGAGCTCATCTCCACCAGTCACTGGTTCCTCTGACAAGGCCGGCTGCTCCTCCCACACTTCAGCAGCAGCAGATTCAGGACCAGCAGAAGCAGGGCCCATTTCACCTGCAGACAGAAATGAGATATATCAGACATAAGAGCGTTAAGGACAAAATTTTACCTCCAAATTAAATTGCTAGAAATGCTTTTCAAAGAAGTCTCTTATGATCACCAATGCTGCATTTATTTCTTCAAAAATACAGTAAAAACATAAATATTGTGAAATATTATTACAGTTTTCTACCTGAAAATATTTGAAAATACAATTTATTAGTGTGATGGCAAAGCTGAATTTACACACATCAGCTTTTTTATCATTCTTTTGTATACATCAGCCGTTCATAGTGGCCACAGCTGTCAAGCTCCCAAAAACACACATGCACATTAAAAACCATAAAAGTATCAATAACAATGGCTTTGTGTGCAAAACAAAAACTTAAGTCACTAAAGGGACAGCCCATCCAAAAAGAACAATTCTATCAATTTACTCACCCTTCCAAACCTGTTGCATTTTTCTTCTGTGGAACAAAGAAGATATTTTTAAGAATATTGGTAACCAAGCAGTTTCGGTGTTCCCACTGACTTCTATTGTATAGACAAAAAATATAATGGAAGTTAATGGGATTCAGAACTGTTTGGTTACCAATATTCTTCATAATGTCTTCTTTCATGTTCCACAGAAGAAAACAAATTCATACAGGTTTGGAATGATGTGACGGTGAGTAAATGATGACAAAGGTTTCATTTTTGTGTGAACTATTCCTTTTTGCGTAAAATTGGTCACCTTTTTTTGGAACTTGACAGTCGTGGGCCCAATATACTGTTGATGTATGAAAAAATGTGTACAGTTTTCAAAATTTCTCCTCGTGTTTCACTGAAAAAAAAAACACAAAGGTGAGTACCTAATGACAAAATTGTGTTCTTCAAGTGAACTATTCCTTTACCCGTTCATGTTCACAATCACAAAGAAATTATTAGCTGTTTTCCCAAACAAAGCATTGCAGTGCTCACCGTGGGTGGGACTGGGGGAGGAAGGGTTGGTTTCACTTTGGTTCATCTGTAGAGCCTCTTGCAACAGCCTCAGGGAGTCTGATCTGTAGCCTTCCACCTTTATCCATCATCCCACAGAAGCAGAAAGAACAAGAACATAAGGTGTGAAATAAATTCACTTTGCTAACAATAAAACATTTCTTTTAAAACAGATCATAAACATTTCAGGCAGAGCTGAGGTGATAGTAATCTTATGTTACATATGTGCTGTTATTTTAACATTTAAACTTGTTTTAGTGCAATAAAGGTGTATTATTTTGATTGACAGGTAAGTTGGTGGTCCTTTAGTGATGTGATCATATGTGATTCTGACTACTTTGATAGTCAGCTATCAATACTTAGCTCTGACCTTGTTTTACACTGGTAAATAACACTGTCCACTTGTGATCTGAGCACCATACAGATGTTAAAATCAGATGTAAATGTAGTCTTATTATTAATAGTCAACAAGCACATGCATACTTTTGGGAATATGACCTCTTAAAGGGATAGTTCAACCAAAAATAAAAAATGTTGTGGGTGAAAAAAAAAAAAAAAATCGCCCCCGGTAGATCCTACCCCACCAACCACCAGAGCACATAAAATACCAAAAATAAAAAAACATTTTATTAAGCAAAATACATGACAATACAAACAACAATAAAATCAGAAATGGACTTTAACTGTCAGCACTCCAGCTTAAAGACCATCTGGGTTTTGTGATCCTTGTTCATGCGCCTCAATCCATGTAGGGCTTTTCAGAAAGTCAGCGTGCGCCATTACTCTATTTCAGAGTGACAGTACGATATTTTTTTGAAAAATATAGGTAACCAAACAGTTGATGGTAGCTATTGACTTCCATTGTATTTTTTATCCATACTACAGAAGTCAATAGCTACCAGCAACTGTTTGGTTACCTACATTCATCAAAATGTCATCTTCTGTGTTCAGCAGAAGAAAGAAAATCATAGAGGTTTTGGACAACTTGAGGGTGAGTAGACAGAATTTTTATTTTTGTGTGAACAATCCCTTGAAATAACATAATACAGAGAGAAAGATGATTAAAAAAAAGTGAATTACAGTTACTATAATTCTTGGGTTATAATCTTTGGTGCAGTCTCTGCACTTGCAGTATCGACTAAAATATACTTTCAAATCAGTTTGCATTTGTAGAAAGGGGGTTTTCTGTTCAGGTCCTTCTTCTGTCCATAGCCCTCTGCATCTCCTCTTTCTCCTCCGCTCCCTGCAGCTGTTTCCTCACATCTGATTGGCTACTCACCTCCTCTTTAATGCTGGCCACCTCCTTCCTCTCCCCAGAGACACATATCCTTTCCTCCTCCTCCTCCCCACCTCCACCTCCACCTCCTCCAGTTGGCAGATGGACACGGAACACGTCCCTCCTCTCATCCCTCACTCTTCCAGTCCCCTCCTTCCACGCATCAGCACTCCACTCCTTCCCCTGCCTGCCTCCTGAGAGAGAAAGATGGGAGGGGGAAAGAGGAGAGAGGAGAACAGGAGGGGGAGGGAGGAATGCAAAAGAGGAGGAGAGGAAGGAGAAAGAAACCTGAGAACTGAGGAGCAGGTCGCCATTATGGTTTCCCACTCAAAGGCTCGAAAAATGCACGATAAAACAGCATCACACAATGGGTCCGAGTTGGCCAGTGCGCTTACTTTGGAGATCCGTTCTGCGCGCTTTGCGCACGGTGTCGTCCGCGCCAAGCAGACCAGCCGCGCGCCGACTGGCCGCCCAGCCCATGCCATATTTGCGTTCGTTTCTCAATTTATTCTCAGTCAGCCTCAGTCTCAATTTCAACGCTTCGTTCTCTTTTCTGTTCAGCGAGATTTCCACCAGGTAGTCGTTCACCGTGTCCTGGAAGAGTTTGGTGATCTCGCACACGGATGCGCGGACCAAACTATCCATGACAGCAGTCAGGTGCGCTTGAAAGGTCTTGACCGATTCCGCCATGGTTTTACTAGTTTTCAGTCGCACAAATAATAAATAAAGTTCCGTCCAACAAAACTATGTCACGCCATATTCAACACCAGTTATACTTCATGTTTTAAGCATCAGCTTTACAATAACAACACTTAATTTAAATGAGCATGTAGTAATAACAATCTGACATCAACTATGGCAACGGCTGTCACCCGAAGTAACCCAACTTTGCGCACAGCCAATGGAACAGACCCTGTTTCTCTATCTGCTCTCTCTTTAAGCTCGCGACCACACCAATCAAATCCTCAAAAGATGAAATTCCACTCCAGATGACGGCCCAAATATAGTCGATGGCTAAAAAAGGTCCGTGTTCATGTTTTACGAGCGTGTATCAGCGGCACAGTTTCGCCAAGTCGAGACCACCCTTCTCAACTCGAGAGGTTTTAATTCTCGCCTACAATATTATTTCCGGATGTCGCGTTTTGCGCACGCGCAGAGCTACCGTAATTACCCGGAAAAGTAGGCCTGGTTAGCTTTGGCAGCTATTTCCTGCTCGTAGATTTGTTTTGGTTATTGAATACATATGCGTACAAAATAAAATAAGAATAAGCTCTTTACCCTGTTGCTAAATGCTGTGCACTATTACAGAGGCAAATGTTTGCAAGATATATAGCATAAATATATATAATATTTATAAATATTCTGTCATGTTATCAAGATGCAGCTTTTGTCAATTATGTTCCAGATCTATGGAACACATTAACAAGGGAATAAAGCCAGCTTGCTAAAAAAAATAGTATTTTTACTGCAGCTAGCAAATTATTTTTCTTAAGTATTATTATGTTGTTTTTTGTTATGCATTTTATGTATAATCATTTTATCTTTTCTTATCATTATAAAGTATAGTTCATTTTAATCTTGTTATATTAGTTTTGGTATTTTTTTAATGTGAAGTATTTGGTGACTATTGTAATATAAGTTTATGATAATAATTGTTATTATATTTAATGTTGTTGTTAAAGTAAACGTTTCAGCAGTGTTTTTGAGGGCTCTTAACATTGTCAAATAGACTGTCCCTTTCTGCTGTTCTTCATTCCACTGGAATTTTTATAGTCTTATTTCTACAGCGTGACAGTCTTATTTTTTCCACTTTTCTCTTGGCTGTTATTTGTATAATACTGTTTATTGTATAAATATTTTACTTTATTGCATAATACTGTTTATTAAAAATATATAATAATACAATTAATAAACAAAAAAATATTTTAGAGTAATTAGTCAAATGAAATTTCGGCTAATGTAACTGTCTTCGGTTGTGCACCATGCTTCTGCATCATCATGCACTTCTAGGGCTGCATGCGCCAGCCGAGCAACGTCTTATGCTAACGGGCCTGCACTGCCAAATCTTTATGTGGGTCATATGGTGTTTTACGGTAGCCTAGAAGAAGTACTGGCATCGCGGTTACTTAGCTTATTCAACCCGGGGCTCACATCTGGATACATTCCCGAAGGATCCTTCCACCGTGCACTATTTTGCAGCAGACCAAGTGCTGTCTCACCGTTGCAGTCATGCCGATGTTCGTGGTGAACACAAATGTTGCAAAGGACGCGGTTCCTGCTGAGCTGCTCTCGGAGGCCACGCAGGAGCTCGCCAAAGTAATGGGCAAACCCGCGCAGGTGAGCAGAGTCAGACTGCATGTTTCTTATTTCCTACAAATCGAATGACTTTTTTTATTAGTGGACATGGAATGAGGAACTAAATACTGTATCGAGACAATGAAACATACAAAAGACTTACTCTACAGTTATCCCTTTAGCTGTAGCTTAAGTCATGTTGGACTTTTCATTGTCTTAACGTTAAAGAGATCTAGACATCATCGCTATTATTTGTCTCGAATTAAGCTTAACTAGTGATGGGAAATCAGTCTCATTTCAGTGAACCATGCTTTCGAACAAATTGTTTCAAAGAACCAGTTAAAAAAAACACGATTGATTCTTTTACTTCCTGACGCAATTACGTGACCGCGTTGTACCAGACCCCCCCGTGTGTGGCATTACATACATATAGCTGTTTACTAAGTATTACAGTATTAAAAATGTGTATTTCAGTTCAGTGTTTTCGAGCCATGTATCGATTCATAAAATAAACTCATTAAAAAAGTAATTTGGAAGCTTATAATAAGCCAAAACTGCGTTTACATGACACGAAATTAATATACATTTTGTTTTGAAAATTTAGACTCGAGAACCGCTCGGATTCGTGAATGAATCTTTCAGATCTGTTTCTTTGAAAAGATCCTGTTCAAAATAACTGCATCATTAACTATTTACCCTTGTGCGTCTCTCTTTGTATTGCTGCATGACAGTACATCGCCATTCACATCATCCCGGATCAGATGATGATGTTCGGGGGCAAAGGAGATCCGTGCGCGCTCTGCTCTCTCACCAGCATCGGAAAGATCGGGGGCACGCAAAATAAGCAATACTCCAAACTTCTTATGGGCTTGCTAAACAAACACCTTGGCATTTCACCTGACAGGTAAATCCATGTATTACAGCTGTCTGTATTTTGCACTTAGCAGAATATTATGCAAAATTTCAAATGAATATAACTTGCAAATTTCAAATGAATTTCAGTTGTTACAGTTTTTCTCCATTTGCTTAAACACATTTCTTGAAATTGTGACTCCTTTTCTCAAAACTCTAAACTCAAATCCATAACCCAATTCCCCATATGTCCTATTTTCAGGTCAAAATGAAGCTCTCCACTCAAAACTATTCAATTTTGCTGAAAATAACAAACTTTGCCCTCAGACGTGACACACAACCCCTCAAAAACACACACACTACAGCACAGTCTTGCACACTAGTGAGATCAATTCATAACACTGTTGCAAAAACCTTCTTTTGGCAATCAGGTATCATTTTACAACTCAATGTCTATTACAGTATACAACATAATTAGAGCAGATACATGTTACAGCAAATATAACAGATACAGTGAAATTCAACAATAAGCTTTACAGTAAGAAAATATTATCTTCATTACACTGCTCAGGGCTCGACAGTGCGACCATTTACTACTGCGTGCGACTATGAAATTTATTTTAGGAGCACCAGTGCGACTGACCCGATCATCATCATACTTGTGATTGCGCTCAGGGAAGCTTCAAAGCTTTCTACGTGTTTTTGCAGCGTCGAGTAATGTATCAGACATATATCTCACCAATCCTTCATAAGCAAAGTGTAGACAGGGTGTAAATAAGAGATTCATCACACAGTGTAGAGAGCTTCGTTGATTATAAATGTGCAAATATAACAGATACAGTGAAATTCAACAATAAGCTTTGCATTAAGAAAATATTATCTTCATTACACTGCTGTAAAGAGATCTTGCAGTACAGTAGATGAAAAGCACTAGAAAGGAAACGGTCAAATACCAAAGAATTGCATATGAACACACAACAGAATATAGAGTCATCTCTTAGTTCTGCAAAAAATACAGTACATGTAAGAAGTACTTGGCTACAAATCAGTTAAGCAGTTATGAGTTTGAGGGTGTACAACTTGTGCTTCAGTATTTACAGTACATATATATAAAAAGTAAAAGTTTGTGATTTTTGAGGTAGTTATATTGTGTGTTTGTGTTTTCTAAATGAGAACATGGTTAAACCTGTGCAAAATGATGCCGTTCTTGTGTAGAGTTTTGCAGAAAATACTGAGCAAATTGGAGCGTGTGTGAAAACAGGTGAAATGTGTTAAAGGTTTTGAGAAACGTGTTTTTGTTTCAGGAACTGTATGAATGGTTTGGAAAATTGTGCCAAACGAATCAGTTAGTGTGTTAGCAATCGAGAAAAACTGTAATATGCTTATGCATGCATACATATTAAGATGTACCTTTCATATTATGGGTTGTTTTGTATGTCAAATGCAGTTATTTGTTTGTTTAGTAAAACCTTTTTGTATTGTTTTTCAGGATTTATATAAACTTTGTTGATATGGATGCAGCTAATGTGGCTTGGAACAGCACTACCTTTGGATAAAGAATATAGATTTATGATCCAATATAAGGTGGCGGTTTCTATTCCAGCTCTACTTGGAGAAAAGCTGTTGGGAGCATAATGCTATCAGTCAATTAAATCTTAACACACAGCACTTACTGCTTACAGCAGACAACATCTCCCTTTGACAATAAAGCTTTCTTTAAACTGCATTGAGATGTTTTTGTTATACATGCCTCTTTAAAGCACAGATGTTTTTACGAAATCATAATGCTGACAAGGGGATTTTATTGTTATTGGCCATACAATTCAATGGTAAATTAAATTAGATATTAACACATAAATATCCAAAATAAAAGAAACCACAACATACTGGGCAAATGAAGTAGCTCAGCATTAGACTTAAGGCATCATGATGAATTTGTAGCATTTTTAATTCTTGAGCCACACTTCCAATGTTAAAAATCTTGTTTTAGGCATGTCTTAGTGTTTGAGTCTTAATTTGTGTGCTAATAAACCTTAAGTCATACCCAGGTACGATACTGAACTGTTTCTGTACTATCGATTTCATAACTAGCCTAGCAAAAACATCCTTTTGAGAAATCAGCAGAGGGGAAATACATGCTTCAAAAGTAAGATTATAAAAGGCGCAGTGGCATATATATATGATGTGAGACCACATCTGTCTGAAATATTTTAGCAACAACAATGAGACTACAGGTGCATCTCAAATTAGAATGTCGTGGAAAAGTTCATTTATCACTGCACCTGTTTACCAATATATTTTGGAGCACTTCCTGCTTCCCTCTGCTGATCAGCTTTTTGAAAATGCTGATTTCCTTTTCCAGCAGGATTTGGCACCTGCCCACACTGCCAAAAGCACCAAAAGTTGGTTAAATGACCATGGTGTTGGTGTGCTTGACTGGCCAGCAAACTCACCAGACCTGAACCCCATAGAGAATCTATGGGGTATTGTCAAGAGGAAAATTAGAAACAAGAGACCAAAAAATGCAGATGAGCTGAAGGCCACTGTCAAAGAAACCTGG